TAATAGGAGGGAGGACTAAATGATTAATAAGACATGCATTAGACATTGATTATTTATGGATGTTTGATACCAATCATAGATAGGCTGCAAGCAACAATAGGCAAGATTGGATAGTGAGAAATGACTGATCATCTTTGTCATTCTCCAAATAAAATGGGAGAATATATGACCTAAAAGGCAAGCAGTAGACACTGGTGGATGATGAAGATCAAACAGTTACTACAAAAATGATCGATGTCAGTTAGCAATCGACACTAAATAATGATGATGATTGGCGTTGATGTCAATTGCCAACCAACATCGGACACTGGTGACAACAATATCAATGTTTTTGATGCACGATATCAAGCAATGAATGACAGTAGACAATGAGTGATAAAATACAAATCTTTACAATTTCCTTTATTAAAAATCCCCTTTAAATGTGTCGAAATGATGTTTGTTTATAAAATTATGGATATGCATTCTAGCCAATCCTACAGAGATTTTGAATGCTCAATTGGACTATATGAATAGAATCTCCCTGGTCATCTTTAAAAATTTTGGAGATCTAAGTGTTTAATGAACTAAAAATTGAGTGTTTTTAAACTCATTAGATTCTTCAGGTCAATATGCTCATTTCAACTATAATCACAAGAAAATGTGGCAACTTTTGAACTCTCAAATGGCCACAAAAAGTTTCAAATTATGTTGAGTGCTTGATTTGAAGTTATTTGGACTTGGATCCACATGATCTTATAATCAATTTATGAATTTTTGTGTCCAAACAAATATGTTTTGAGATTTAAAAATCAAGTCAAAATTTGTATTTGATCATATGAATTTTATGTTGGAATATCAATTTAATATAACAAAATAAAAAAGACAACTAATTTAAAGACATCCATAAAAAGTAATAGATCAACAATAACAAATTTATGAATAAAAATTGAAAGCTGATTTGGACTAGAGAGCAATACAAACATCTATAAGTAATCTAAATCTAAACAGCTCAGTTGAAATAATATAATTGCAAACAAAATGACAGCATTTCACTTAATTAGCCACATAACCTAAAATTTAGCTTTGCTAAGAAAGCTACACTTCATGCCCAAAAACCTCTTACAAGCTCCAAATAAAACATGAAGCAAACAAGTCTGAGATCAATAAAACGAAGAAAACACTCCTCTAACACATGTACTAACGAATTATAAAGTAAACATCCATGAATCCACACATTAACATACTTAATATTTTTCAAATTATACAAATTAAATTGATGAGCAAGCGCAGACAAACAATAAGCAGCAGAATACCTTTAGAGGTCGGCAGTTGCTTTCCTTCCTTCTCGTAGTACTCCCTAATCGAAACCAGCGTCTTACCTCTGAAATCCTGAACTGTAACCCTCCTCTTATTCGACAGCTGCAAGAAATTTAAAGACCCAAAATCAAGAATGTAAACAAATTCATAAGATTTAACACGCGATACCAAGTCACTGACCCTGCACACGATGAGATCGCCTTCATCATCATACTCCTTCGGGCCGCGCCTCCTTCTCCGATCGTCCTCCTCTTCTTCTGCCTCCTCCTCCTCCTCATCCGCAGCAGGGTCCTCCACTTGCTGTTGGTCTTCTAGCGGAGTTTCAGCGGAATCAGAGGGATCCTCCTTGTGCGATGTGAGGAAGGACTCAACTATGCTCCGTACAAAGCGCTTGCGGTCGGGCGGTGAGAGGTCGATTCCAAGCCGATCTGCTGCTAAAGTTCGCACCTTGTACTCGGTCATCTCCTCCATGTTAGCATTCCTGAGTATCTCAAGCACCGCTTCTTCTATCGACCGGTGTGTTTCATGGTCCATGGCTGTCCCGAGCTTTGAGGTAGGGAATAGAGGGCATCCTCCATAAATCTAAAAATTATTCATGTCATGATGTATTTCGGTGGGTCTCACCTAAAATTTTTTATATTTTTTTTTTAAAAAACGGAAATAATCCTGATCGTAGAACACCGTGATCTACGGTCAGGATCGAACACCGCGTGCAGAGATGCATGCGGTGTCCGCACGCAATAATCTCCCAAATCGAAAAATTATTCCATGCGGATCGGCGTCCGCACGCAATAATCTCCCATAAATCGAAGAAAACTGCCAAATTTAATGGCTCTGCATACAGATAATTATGATTTTATTATTTATTTTAAAAAAAAAATATGTTAAAAACTCATGCCAGATCAAAATATTCCTTTTATTATAATAGAAGTAAAAGCCTTCATTGAGTAGTTATATAGCCTTTCTATCACAATTGCTTCTTGAAGTTTCATCTTCATGGCACTTTCTCCATATTTGATTGTAAAATATACTTGTGCATGCTGTATGTATGGCTAGAGGTGGTACCAAAATTTCATGGTAATTGTCTTCATTCATCATTTGTTCAAGGTTAAAAAAAGTAATTATTGGCATCAATTTTGGATGTCATACACACTTGATATCCTTTCGAGGGATATGGGATTATATTGTGCTCATACATAGCGTCTCATCATTCAAGGAGTTTGTATATCCTTTAGAGATTACATTTAGCGTCAGGTTGAGGGTACATCCCTTTCTGGTTTTGCCCGGAGCGACTGCCATCGGTCGGCATCAGCCTTCCAATTGTTCCTAAGTTTTATGGGAACAATTTAGAACATTTCCATTAATTTTATTATTTTTTTTTTAATTGTTAAAAATCATTTTAGTGTTAAAAATGACATATAACTTAGAAAATCAATTTGAGTTATCAAATGAGCTTCAAATGTCTTGAAATTTTTACGAAGAGTTCTCTGAAGTTCAAATGTCTAGAAATTAAGTGCATTCTCAATGACTTAAACCATGAAATATTTTCCAAAGGGTTCTCTAGTCACATTAAACCTTCCAAAATTTTCTTGGAATTTTCTAAATAACATGCTAATTATTATGATTAATTTATGCAAATAATAGACATAAACTTGAAAACTATGGATCTCTATCTAGAGGTCTCCCCTGACTTTGGAAAAATCAGGGAATGTTCCCTAAGACAGAGGCAACAACGTGCTAAAATTTCAAGTCATGGTGAAATATCTACATGCACGGAGAATCAAAAGACTCAAAATAGTATTTAATTAATTAAAAATAAAATATGCATCAAATAAACTTCAAATTATTCACATTGTTCTCCTCTGTTCACTGAGCAAGAGGGTATTTAAATTTTTTTTTTGTGAATTTTCTACACCAAGATATGAATTTTCAAAGTATATTGACATTTTCTGATTTATTTAATTCCCTGATTATCTATTTAAACGCACGGCACCATATCATCCTAGGCAACTCCGAAGCTCCATGCGATGCACCCCTATTTGATGTCGCCATCCACCTCAACGGTGACTAGGCCCGCAGTTCATCTAAGGGAGTGTTATCTGGCTTGATCTCATCCCTTGATGAGATAAATGCGTGATCAGACGGCTCTCCGTCATCGTCCCCAATGGCCTAGCCCGAGAACCGTCCATCTTCAAAACTTGATATCTCCCTCATTTCTCAACCAAATTGAATGAATTTTTTTTTAAAATGCTTGTCTACACTAAAGGAACATATCTATATGGTTAAAATGCCATGAAATTAAGCATAATCAAATGGAGAATCAAAATAGGCTCGGGCAGAGAGGGAGTTCAATACCATTGCTCTTAGAAGAGAAACTACAATCAGAGGTGCTCGACATGTTCATTGGAGTCCAAGGAGGATATGGATTGAGCCTCTTACTGTGGTGAAAGGTCTATGTATGAATTCGACCAAGCTCGATTTCAGGTGTTGGTCTAGAGCTATGCTAGGGTCTCTGTGGAAGAGGGATTTGATGGGGCTTCTCCTTCTTTCACTGTGGTGAAGGTGTGGGTAAATTTAATTTGAGTTTAGTGGACTGTGGAGGTTTATTGAGCTTTGTCCTGATTTTAGATAGAATTTTGAGCTCAAAATTGAGCTTCCACAATGGGAATCCGTGAGGGAAAGTGGTTGAGTTGAGCTTAGGAGGTTTCGAAGAGTCTCTATGAGCAATTTGGAAGGCTCTCTCTGATAAAATTTCAACTCTCCTCCCATGGCCATGGAGGGGAGTTTTTTTTTAAAATGGCTTAAGGGTGGCTGTCATGGCCAATTATGGGTGAAAAATGATGCTTAAGTGGAAGGCAGAGAGGCTCTAACATTTGATTTGGATGAGGTGGCCTCTAGGTTTGAAATGGGTTTGATTTGGAGGAGGTGGCTCACAGTTTTGGTGTTTTCCAACCACTAGGCCAGCCGACCAGGCCAGGGGAGGTGGCTAGGTGGTTAGATGAGCCAGGAAAATATGTCACAACAATTAAATGACTTGAGGTTTAGTTTTGACTAAAAATCCAAGGCTTAAGCAAATATGGAATCAAAGTCCCTTAATTTAGGGAACCTTTGGTCCATGTCTTAGATTAGGTGGCTTTATGGGATTTAGCTTGGTCACTAAGGTCCAACTAATGGCTGTGGAGTCATTAATTTGGTGGTTTTGGGGTGGTTTGGCTAATTTTAGTGCATAGGTCCAATGTGGGTTCAAATGACCAAACAAAATAAAAAAGACAACTAATTTAAAGACATCCATAAAAAGTAATAGATCAACAATAACAAATTTATGAATAAAAATTGAAAGCTGATTTGGACTAGAGAGCAATACAAACATCTATAAGTAATCTAAATCTAAACAGCTCAGTTGAAATAATATAATTGCAAACAAAATGACAGCATTTCACTTAATTAGCCACATAACCTAAAATTTAGCTTTGCTAAGAAAGCTACACTTCATGCCCAAAAACCTCTTACAAGCTCCAAATAAAACATGAAGCAAACAAGTCTGAGATCAATAAAACGAAGAAAACACTCCTCTAACACATGATACTAACGAATTATAAAGTAAACATCCATGAATCCACACATTAACATAGTTAATATTTTTCAAATTATACAAATTAAATTGATGAGCAAGCGCACACAAACAATAAGCAGCAGAATACCTTTAGAGGTCGGCAGTTGCTTTCCTTCCTTCTCGTAGTACTCCCTAATCGAAACCAGCGTCTTACCTCTGAAATCCTGAACTGTAACCCTCCTCTTATTCGACAGCTGCAAGAAATTTAAAGACCCAAAATCAAGAATGTAAACAAATTCATAAGATTTAACACGCGATACCAAGTCACTGACCCTGCACACGATGAGATCGCCTTCATCATCATACTCCTTCGGGCCGCGCCTCCTTCTCCGATCGTCCTCCTCTTCTTCTGCCTCCTCCTCCTCCTCATCCGCAGCAGGGTCCTCCACTTGCTGTTGGTCTTCTAGCGGAGTTTCAGCGGAATCAGAGGGATCCTCCTTGTGCGATGTGAGGAAGGACTCAACTATGCTCCGTACAAAGCGCTTGCGGTCGGGCGGTGAGAGGTCGATTCCAAGCCGATCTGCTGCTAAAGTTCGCACCTTGTACTCGGTCATCTCCTCCATGTTAGCATTCCTGAGTATCTCAAGCACCGCTTCTTCTATCGACCGGTGTGTTTCATGGTCCATGGCTGTCCCGAGCTTTGAGGTAGGGAATAGAGGGCATCCTCCATAAATCTAAAAATTATTCATGTCATGATGTATTTCGGTGGGTCTCACCTAAAATTTTTTATATTTTTTTTTTAAAAAACGGAAATAATCCTGATCGTAGAACACCGTGATCTACGGTCAGGATCGAACACCGCGTGCAGAGATGCATGCGGTGTCCGCACGCAATAATCTCCCAAATCGAAAAATTATTCCATGCGGATCGGCGTCCGCACGCAATAATCTCCCATAAATCGAAGAAAACTGCCAAATTTAATGGCTCTGCATACAGATAATTATGATTTTATTATTTATTTTAAAAAAAATATATGTTAAAAATTCATGCCAGATCAAAATATTCCTTTTATTATAATAGAAGTAAAAGCCTTCATTGAGTAGTTATATAGCCTTTCTATCATAATTGCTTCTTGAAGTTTCATCTTCATGGCACTTTCTCCATATTTGATTGTAAAATATACTTGTGCATGCTGTATGTATGGCTAGAGGTGGTACCAAAATTTCATGGTAATTGTCTTCATTCATCATTTGTTCAAGGTTAAAAAAAGTAATTATTGGCATCAATTTTGGATGTCATACACACTTGATATCCTTTCGAGGGATATGGGATTATATTGTGCTCATACATAGCGTCTCATCATTCAAGGAGTTTGTATATCCTTTAGAGATTACATTTAGCGCCAGGTTGAGGGTACATCCCTTTCTGGTTTTGCCCGGAGCGACTGCCATCGGTCGGCATCAGCCTTCCAATTGTTCCTAAGTTTTATGGGAACAATTTAGAACATTTCCATTAATTTTATTATTTTTTAAATTTTTCTTATTATTTAAATATTAAAAAAGGGTTTTAAAACATAGTTTTTATTTTGATTTTAATTTTAATTTTAGAAAATCCCTCTGACCACAGAGAACTCCAAAAAACTCATTTTTATAATTTTTTTAGTTATATTTTAATTGTTAAAAATCATTTTAGTGTTAAAAATGACATATAACTTAGAAAATTAATTTGAGTTATCAAATGAACTTCAAATGTCTTGAATTTTTTACGAAAAGTTCTCTAAAGTTCAAATTATAGTGTAGATTTAAAATCAAGTCATTTAGATATTTGTGTTTCCCAAAGTTAATTTTCTTTGTGTTTTAGGGTTGATAAAAATTAAGTGCATTCTCAATGACTTAAACCATGAAATATTTTCCAAAGGGTTCTCTAGTCGCATTAAACCTTCCAAAATTTTCTTGGATTTTTCTGGGGAAGATGCTAATTATTATGATTAATTTATGCAAATAATAGACATAAACTTGAAAAATATGGATCGCTGTCTAGAAATCTCCTCGCTCTTTGGAAAAATCAGGGAACAACATGCCAAAATTTCAAGTCATGATGAAATGTCTACATGCATGGAGAATCAAAAGACTCAAAACAGAATTTAATTAATTAAAAATAAAATATGCATCAAATAATTCCCAAACCATTTCCATATCGTTTTTATCTATTCACTGAGCAAGAGGGTATTTTTATTTTATATTTATGATTTTTCTACACCAAGATATGAATTTTTGAAGTTAGGGATCTTTTTCTGATTTATTTAATTTCATATTTTTCTATTAAACGCGCGACGCCTCGTCAACCTACGGTTGCTCCGAAGCTCCATGCGATGCGCTCCCATTCGACGTTGCCATCCACCTTAATACTGACTCAGCCCGCGGTTCTCGTATGAAGGCGTTGTCTGGCTAGATCTCGTCCGTCGATGAGATAAACGCGCGATCGGACGGCTCTCCGTTATCGTCCCCGAAGGTCTTGCCCGAGAATTGGTCTTGCCCGAGAATCGTCCACTTTCAAAGCTTGGTATCTCTCTCATTTCTTAACCAAATTGAATGATTTTTTTTAAATGCTCGTCTTGATTAGTAAAACATATTTATATTGTTAATATGCAATGAAATCAACTCCAAACAAATGAAGAGTGAAAATAGGCTCGAGAAGAGGAGGAGATTAATACCTTGACTCTGAGAAGGGAAGCTTCAATCAGAGGTGCTTGACACGTACATGGAGGTCCAAGGAGGCTAGGGATTGAACATCTTGCTATGGTGTAAGGTCTAGGTATGAATTCGACCATGCTCGATTTCAGGTGTTAATCAAAGTCTAGTGTAGGGGCTCTGTGTGAGGGGGATTTGATGGAGTTTCTTCTTCTTTCACTGTGGTGAAGGTGTAGGTGAGTTTAATTTGAGTTTGATGGAATTTGAAGGTTTGGTGAGCTCTGTCCTGATTTTTGGCAGAAGTTTGAGCTCAAAATTGAGCTTTCACAGTGGGAATCGGTGGAGGAAAATGGTTGGCTTGAGCTGAGGAGGTCTCAAAGAGTCTGTGAGAGCATTTTGGAGCGGTCTCTCTAAGAAATTTTCAGCACCTCTTCAATGGCTATGGAGGTGATCTTTTTATAAAATTGGCTTAAGGCTCAATGCCATGGCCATTAGGGTGTGAAAATGCATGCTTAGGTGGAGGGCAGAGAGGCTCTAACATTTAATTTGGATGAAGTGGCCTCTAGGGTTGAATTGGAATTGAGTTTAATTCCATGGGGGTAGCTCTAGAATTGGACATTTTCCCACCACTAGGATGGCCGGCAAGGCCAGGGGAGGTGGCTAGGAGGTCAGGTGAGCCAGGGGAATCTGTCACAGCAATTAATTGGGCTGAGGTTTAGTTTTGGCAAAGATATCTTTGGCTTAAGCAAATATGTCATCAAATCCCTTGATTTGGGGATCCTTTGGTCCATGGCACATTTGGGTGGTTCCATGGGGTTTTGCTCGGTCAATAGGGTCCAAAATTTGGTTGTGGTGGCCTTGTCTTGACCAATTTGACATGTCTAGGTCAATTTTGGTGCATGGGTCCAAGTGAGTGCAAATTACCAAGATTGGGTTTGGGCTAGGCTATCCATGTTAATTGGTCTAATTAATTGATGAATTTGATGTATATTGTTGTAATTAACATTTTTGGTGAAGGATTGAAAGGATTTTGAGTTTAATTGGAGGGACAATTTGAAGGATTTTTGGAATTTGGTCAATTTAGGCAAGTTAGGCTAAGTTTGGGTCTAGATTGGGCTAGGCTGGGTCTAAGTCCAAATTGATTGCTGAAAATGGTCAATAGGAACATCATGAAGATTTTTTAACATAAATTGGGTGCCAATTTTTGGGCTAAGGTAATCAATTTGGTGGAATTTTGAGACATGGCCAATTTAGGGAAAAATTGGAGCTTTTTGGACTTATGTCAAAATTAAATGAAATTGAGGTCTTACCAAGGCCAATTGAAGGTCAATTTTGATGTTTAAGAATGTTATAAAGAGTTTATGATTCAATTTGAGGCCAATTGAGTAAGCTATGGGTTTAATTTGGAGAGATTAGGTCATGTAGCCAAAATTTGGGATTTAACCTAAATCAAAATTGGGCTCAAAGAATGGGCCAATTAAGCTTGTATTTGGTTTATATTGGTCATATGAAAGGTTAATTTGAGTTTTGTATTGAAATTTTGGGAAATTGGGATCAAATTGGTGGACATTTGAGGCAAATTTGTGGGAATTTGGGCCCTTTAAGGGCAATTTTAGGGTTTTGGTTGGGGGCTTTAGTTAAAGATGATCAAATTGGCCAAATTGGGTCCGACCAAGCTCGATTTCAGGTGTTAATCAAAGTCTAGTGTATGGGCTCTGTGTGAGGGGAATTTGATGGAGTTTCTTATTCTTTCACTGTGGTGAAGGTGTGGGTGAGTTTAATTTGAGTTTGATGAAATTTGGAGGTGTGGTGAGCTCTGTCCTGATTTTTTGCAGAAGTTTGAGCTCAAAATTGAGCTTTCACAGTGGGAATCGGTGGAGGAAAATGGTTGGCTTGAGCTGAGGAGGTCTCAAAGAGTCTGGGAGAGCATTTTGGAGGGGTCTCTCTGAGAAATTTTCAGTAGCTCTTCCATGGTCTTGGAGGTGAGCTTTTTATAAAATTGGCTTAAGGCTCACTGCCATGGCCAGTTAGGGTGTGAAAATGCTTGCTTAGGTGGAGGGCAGAGAGGCTCTAACATTTAATTTTGATGAAGTGGCCTCCCGCGCGCAGGGGAGGTGGCTAGGAGGTCAGGTGAGCCAGTGGAATCTGTCACAGCAATTAATTGGGCTGAGGTTTAGTTTTGGCAAAGATATCTTTGGCTTAAGCAAATATGTCATCAAATCCCTTGATTTGGGGATCCTTTGGTCCATGGCACATTTGGGTGGTTCCATGGGGTTTTGCTCGGTCAATAGGGTCCAAAATTTGGCTGTGGTGGCCTTGTCTTGACCAATTTGACATGTTTAGGTCAATTTTGGTGCATGGGTCCAAGTGAGTACAAATGACCAAGACTTGGGTTTGGGCTAGGCTAGCCATGTTAATTGGCCCAATTAATTGATGAATTTGGTGTATATGATTGTCATGAAGGATGTATATTGTTTTAATTAACATTTTTGGTGAAGGATTGAAAGGATTTTGAGTTCAATTGGAGGGTCAATTTGAAGGATTTTTGGAATTTGGTCAATTTAGGCATGTTGGGCTAAGTTTGGGTCTAGATTGGGCTAGGTTGGGTCTAAGTCCAAATTAATTGCTGAAAATGGTCAATAGGAACATCATGAAGAGTTTTTAACATAAATTGGGTGCCAATTTTTGGGCTAAGGCAATCAATTTGGTGGAATTTTGAGACATGGCCAATTTAGGGCAAATTTGGAGCTTTTTGGACTTATGTCAAAATTAAATGAAATTGAGGTCTCACCAAGGCCAATTGAAGGTCAATTTTGATGTTTAAGAATGTTATGAAGAGTTTTCAACATGAATTGTGGCAAATTTAGTGGGCTATGAGTTTAATTGAGCTATGGGTTTAATTTGGAGAGATTAGGTCATGTAGCCAAAATTTGGGATTTAACCTAAATCAAAATTGGGCTCAAAGAATGGGCCAATTAAGCTTGTATTTGGTTTATATTGGTCATATGAAAGGTTAATTTGAGTTTTGTATTGAAATTTTGGGAAATTGGGATCAAATTGGTGGACATTTGAGGCAAATTTGTGGGAATTTGGGCCCTTTAAGGGCAATTTGGGGGTTTGGTCAAAGATGGTCAAATTGGTGAAATAGGGTTTTGGTTAAAGATGGTTAAATTGGTCAAACTGGGTCATGTGGTAGTTGATAAAAATAAAATTGGGAAAATTTGAAAGGTTTTGGGAATTTTTGGGATTTTTTGGAATTTTTGAAATTTTGGGCTAAAGAGGGGCATC